TCACACACACACAGTGTTTGTTGTCCCCCCCACATACACACACACACTGTTGCCCCCTCTCTCTCACACACACACACACTGTGTTTTTTGCCCTCACACACACACACACACACACACACACACACACACACACACACACACACACACTGTGTTTGTTGCCCTGTGCGATACTTGGTCCCCTACATTCGTGCCCAACAGCCTCTTGCCTTCTTCGTACGAGGCAGTGACTCTGTCCCTAGACTTGGGTTGGGAGCCTTCAGGGAAAAGTTGGGTCTCCTTTAGCCATGAAGGCCTGATGCTCAGCCTGTTCACTGATGTGAGCCTGGAGGGAGGGAACCCACTGACTCTCCTGAGGCCCTCTGACCCCTGGTCCATCCTACCAGCACACTGGGTGTTCTCTGAGCTCGTTTTGGCCCAGTGTCAGGACTGAGCACTGGGCCACCTGAGACCCCTGAGCCACACCAGCTTCTTTGCAGGGCACCATCATCTTGCCCAACCTGGCCTCCGTGCTCTACGACCCCAAGTGCTGGGAGACTCCCCGACAGCTCAACCCCAGTCACTTCCTGGACAAGGAAGGAAACTTCATTGTCAATGAGGCCTTCCTGCCATTCTCTGCAGGTACTGGGCATAGCTGGGTCCTGGGTGGTGGGTAGGGGGCATGGTGGGGCCGACACAGGGACAGCTGCCACCCCCTGACCTTTCCCTCTGTTTCCAGGCCCCCGGATGTGCCCAGGGCACCAGCTGGCCCAGATGGAGCTCTTCCTGAGATTGCCACCCTCCGCGGGGTCTTTGAGTTTCAAATGTCAGTGGAGCCTGGGGCTCAGGCTGGATTATATCTTTGGGGGCACTCTGCAGCTCCAGCCCCAGGAGATCTATGCAGTGCCCCACCTAAGCAGCCCCAGCCCAGGTCCCAGGGAGGATGGCCTGTAGCCAGCTAGGTAAGGAGGTTGGTCCCCTACGAGGTCCTTCCTCAGTCTCCTTCGGCTCCTGCAAAGTCGGGGAAGAGGAAGAAGAGGGGTTCACTCAGTTCAGCTACTCATGGCTCCCCTAACACAAGCTCTGTGGGGTGACATTGGAGGGCAGACTTACCAAGGATTCTACAAAAGTAGCTCAGTTTAGGTAGCTTAGCTTTGGTAGGGAAGGATTTTACAAGGCTAGTTAAGATTTGGCATTAAATCATTTCACAAGGTTAATTTGGGGAATCGAGCTTCACAAGGCAGCACCTAAGTGGGTTCAGAGGGAAGTAGGTTCAGAGGGAAAAAGGCTTTGAGCAAAAAGCTTTGTGCTTTTGATGGTGGGGCTGGATAAACCAAGGAAGGGAGCTTATTTCCTGCCCTCTCCTGCCCTCTTCTGACTAGAGGGAGGAAGTGCAGTCTTTGCAGGCCTCTGACAGGGAAAGAGGAAGCTAGCAAGCAGCCATTGCAGCGGTTCCCAACAAATTCTCCATCAAGGACTCCTTTTGCCTGTCCCCCAGGGGTCCCCAAGTTTTGAACCCTATGTCTCCAGACAACCCTTGTTTATTAGAACAACTCATGACTTACATTAGGGAAATGCAATGAAAATCAAAATGAGATACCTTTGTACACTTATTACCCCGTTGCCATTGAGTCGATTCTGACTCATAGCGACCCTATAGGACAGAGTAGAACTGCTCCATAAGGTTCCCAAGGAGCGGCTGGTGGATTCAAACTGCCGACCTTTTGGTTAGCAGCCATAGCTTTTAAGCACTGTGCCACCAGGGTTCCAAAGGGGGGAATAAGTGCCCTAAACTCATTCTCTTTCCACCCTCCAATCTCCTGTTGGTGCCTGCAATTGGCTGAGCCCAGCTGGAAGCCAGAGGGCAAAGGAGCCCATTGATGTGGTCCACAAAGGTCAGCCTCCAGAGGGCTGGAGCAGGATAGGAGAGGGATCTGGAGGGGCAAGCAGAGAACATCCAGCACATCCCAGCCCTAGATCCCCTGGGTTCTGGAGGTGAGCCACATCATCCCCTTGCCCTAATGATTCCTTCAGACACTTATCCACCAATCACCTTGAGCATGCATTTCTGTTTTGTTGAGACTCTACCCTCGATCTCTAGCACCTCTTCGGAACTATTACCCATCTCCTGCTCACTACCCCTTCTTCACTGAAGTCTTGGGATTCCTTCCAAATCCTACCATCATCCTGGCGACCCCAAGTCCATGTCAGCAACCCAGCCCACACTCAGGATGCTCAGTTTCTGGGATTCCTCATCTTTGGTGGCGTCCAGCTTCATTCCTCTCCAGCTGTCAGCCCTATGACCACACCTAAGTTCTTGTCAGCCCCTAGAGAAGTCCTCCTTCTGAAACTATAAATTCATAGATCCCTGTTAAGAACTGAGAAGGATCTGATATTTTATCCTACTTGAAAGCTAACAAGTTAGCCTGACATAATTTCATTGATGCTGGTAGAAAACACAAGTCCCCTGGGTCAGAGGCGAAGAACAATCTGGTACTCACAGCAATAGCATTAGCTAGAGTATCAGTATTTTTGTCCTGGTTCTCTGAGCCCCAATTCCTACCAGACAGTGCAAAAGGGCCAGATGACACCTGCACACTCAGTGAGTTGCATGATAGGAGAGGAGCCCTGCGCGTAGGGAACTTGAGTCTTTTATACCAAAAAACTAAATGCATTGCCATTGAGTCGATTCCAGCTCAGAGCCACCCTATGCGACAGAGTAGAACTGCCCCATAGGGTTTCCAAGGCTGTAATCTCTATGGAAGCAGACTGCCACAACTTTCTCCCAGGGAGCAGCTGGTGGGTTCAAACCACTGACCTTTCGGTTAGCAGTGGAGCACTTACCCACTGTGCCACCAGGGCTCCTTGAGTCTTTTATAATGGGCAATAAATATGCCTTTTCTCTGTAGGGCAATACTATCTCTATCTTCCAAGTCTGTAAGCAAACTTGCCTTTTGCCCTGAAGAAAAACATTATCTCTATCTTCCAAGGTTGTTTGCTATACAAACATCCCCCAAAAGGAGCAAAGGACAGTGAGTGCCTCACTCACAAGATGCAGAAATGAAGAGCATTTCTTGAGGAATGAGGCAATGCCTCTGTGATGGTTAAGGTTGGGTGTCAGCTTGGCTGGGGTATGATTCTCAGTGGTTTGGCAGTTATGATATAGTTTGGCAGCTATCTGATGATGTAATCACCTCCTTAATGAGATCTGATATAAGGTAATCACCTCCATGCTGAGATCTGTTATGAGTAGCCAATCAGCTGAAAGGGAGTTTCCTTGAGGATGTGGCCTGCATCCAATAGAGGTGGACTTTCTGGCCAATCTCTCTGGCTTTTGCTTGCTTTGGATCCTGTAGCTGTCTCCTGTTCATCTGACCTCCAGTTCTTGGGACTTGAGCTAGCAGCTTATCCACCTATCTTGGGATTTGTTAGCATCCACAGCCTGTGAGCCAGCAGCCTGCTGGGCTTGCCAGCTCCTGCCAATATGTGAGTCAGGAGAAGTCTCCAGCCTGACCCATGGACTTGGGACTTTCCAGTCTGTATGACTGCATGAGTCATTTCTCTGATATAAATCTCTCTATATATATTTATTTATATGCTTCAATGGTTTTGCTTCTCTAGAGAACCCAGCCTAAGACAGTCTCCTTCCAGGATAAAGAACAGGCTTGCTTACCACTTACTATAAAAGCAGTAGATTCCCATTAATCTGAGAAAACACCAAATGGGGATGATGCCGGTGCTGCAGGAGGGCCCAGAGGCCCTGGGGCCCTAGAATGGGAGGCCACAGCAGCTTTCACAGAGGCTTCGGCAGTGGCCTCCTGGGCCAGGGCCAAGCCTGTGAAGCTCATGGAGACAAGGCCAAGGACAAAGAGTGGCTCCTCATTACCAAGCTAGGCCACCTGGTCAAGGACATGAAGATCAAGTCCCTGGAGGAGATCTATCTCTTCTCCCATCAAGGAGTCTGAGATCACTGGCTTTTTCCTGGGGGATGTACTTCAAGGATGAGGTTTTGAAACTCATGCCTGTGCAAAAGCAGATGCATGCTGGCCAGTGAACCATGTTCAAGGCATCTGTTGCTATTGGAGGATACAACAGCCACATCAGCCTGGGTGTTAAGTGCTCCGAGGAGGTGGCCACTGCCTTCTGTGGGGCCTTCATCCTGGCCAAGCTCTCCTTTGTCCCCGTTCAGCAGGGCTACTGGAGAAACAAGATTGGCAAGCCCCACACTGTTCCTCTCAAGGTGATCAGCCGCCATAGCTCTACGCTGATGTGCCTCATCCCAGCCCCCAAAGGCGCTGGCATAGTCTACGCCCTGTGCTCAAGGAGCTGTTGATGACGGCCACTATTGACGACTTGTACACCTCAGCTTGGGGCTGTACTGCCACCCTGGGCAACTTTGCCAAGGGCACTTTTTTTTAAATTGTGCTTTAGGTGAAAGTTTACGGCTCAAGTTAATTTCTCATACAAAAATTTATGTACATGTTGTTTTGTGACATTAGTTGCAATCCTCACAATGTGACAGTACACTCTGTCTTTCCACCCCAGGTTCCCTGTGTCCATTAAACAAGTTCCTGACCCTTCCTGCCTTCTCATCCTGCCTCCGGACAGGAGCTGCCCATTTGGTCTTGTGTATCTGATTGAACTAAGAAGCACATTCCTCACATGTATTATTTTTTGTTTTATAGTCCTGTCTAATCTTAGTCTGAAGAGTCGGCTTCAGGAATGGTTTCAGTTCTGGGTTAACAGTGTGTCCAGGGGCCATAGTTTCGGGGGTTCCTCCAGTCTCTGTCAGACCATTAAGTCTGGTATTTTTACATGAATTTGAGTTCTGCTCCACACTTTTCTCCTACTCCATCTAGGACTCTCTGTTGTGTTCTCTGTCAGGATGGTCACTGGTGGTCGCCAGGCACCATCTAGTTCTTTTGGTCTCAGGCTGGTGGAGTCAAGGCCACTTTTGATGTTATCTCCAAGACCTACAGCTATCTCACCCCTAACCTCTGGAAAGAGACTGTGCTTACCAAGTCTCCCTATCAGGAATTCACTGACCATCTTGTAAAGACCCACATCGGAGTCTCTATGCAGAGAACCCAGGATCCAGCTGTGGCAGTTTTTATACAAGAAAAATAAAGTGAATTAATTAAGGCTGAAAAACAAAAAAGCAGTAGATTCCCCAAGCTCAGTGTTCTTTAGTTGAGATGCAAACCACCACACGTACTACAACTATCTGGCCCATGGCATTGCTACCGTGGCGCTTAGGGATGAAGGGGAACCCACACAATCATGATGCTCAAGCTGCTTGCTGCGTTCTGGTATCTTAGCTTCCTAGTGCTGCTGTAACATAAATACCACAAAGTGGGTGGCTTTAAAGTACAGAAATTTATTTGCTCACAGTTCAGGAGGCTAGAAGTCCAAATTCAGGACATTGGCTCTCTTTCAACTTCTAGTAGTTGCCAGCGACCCTTGGTGTTCCTGGGTAGATGCATCTGCTTCCATCATCATCCGTGGTCATATGGCATCTGTCTTTCCCCTGTGGCTGTTTTCCTTTTTTATAAAATACATGTCTCAGAAGGGATTAGGTCTAGGACTCACTCTACTCCAGTATGACCTCGTTTGGCCCAACTATAACAATAGAAAACTCTATTTCCCCAAAGAAGATCACATTCACAGGAACAGGGGTTAGGACTTCAACATAAGTTTTTAGTGGACACAATTCAGTCTACAACACTTGGGTAATAAAGTCTTTTGTCTCTGACCCAGGAGTCTTCTGTCTTCTGCTATCATCCATGAAACAATCATAGGCTAACTTATTAGCTTGTAAGTAAGGTAAAATCAAATCCCAGATTTAATAACTATGACATAGCCAAAGTGAAATTACTTTTACTTCTCAAATGAGTTGTGCCCTGGTAGACATCACAAATGTTATTCTCTGTGCCTAGAACATTCCAGCCCTTTTC